ACCAGTCATTAGCATTGTTTCTGTAGATATTAAATTAACTAAAGGTATCACGGAAACGAAGGGATGGGCCAAATTAAAAGAATTGATTGGGCTAGTTAACTGCAGCAGGAACATGCCCTTAAGACACAGATCGCCCATGCTGTTGTTTGTGGCTTAAGAATGCCTTTAAGTGGTTTGCCGCCCTGGGTGGGCCAGGTTTTCCTTGCCCTCATTCCTATAAACCCACAACCTTCCAGCTTGGGCGTTAGGGCCTTTAAGAACATGTCACAGTGCTGCAGAGATTTTGTTTATGACCAGTCTTGGGGCCAGTTTATGGCCAGATTTTGGGAGGCTTGCACCCAACAGAAGTCAGGTAGTATGATGCCTCCAGCTTGGTTCTTTTTGCTTAGGATTGTCTGGGCTATACCGGCATTTTTTAAAAAGTGTATATCTTATTTATTCAACTTAGTTGCAGTCTCTTACATCTTCCCCAAATGGTTTTATCTTCTCTCTTTTCGCCAGTTAGTCTTCCCTTCTCATTGCTTCTAGGGTCACATTGCCTGCTACATCCTCCCTTCAGTCATCTGTGACTTCTAAATTGTGAGCTGGGGGAACAAGTTTACCGTGATCAATAGGTAGCATTTGCAAGATTCATTTCAGAATGACTCTGAAGTTCATTATGATTTCTTCTTAGGCCTTTGGACTATTTAAGAAGTTGTTTTTGTCTTAAATTTTCGGTCTTGAAATTCTAGGTATCCTTTTGTTTCTGATTTTGGCCTAATTAAATGATCAGAGAACATAACTCTGTATGATAACAGTTTGTTATATTTGTGGCAATTAGTTTTATGGTCTAGTATATGGTCAGTTTTTGTAAATATCTGATGCATTCTAAAAGAATGAATATTCTTCCATTGTTAGTTACAGCATTCTATGTCCTGTACTCTTGTTTGTTTAAATCTTTTTGGTCTATACTAAATTTTACATGCTTATTCTAATATCCCACTACAATTGCGGTTTTGTAATTTCTCCTTGTCATTCTGTCAGAGTTTTGTTTCTCTTGAGGCCTGATTATGAAACATTTAACACTTTTATATAATTTTTGGTGGATTGCACTTTCATCTACATGAACTATGATGCTTTTTAAAATTAGTTATAACTACACTACGTTTTCTTTGCCGTGTGTGTGTGTGTGTGTGTGTGTGTAGCATGACTTTTTCATCCCTTTACTTCCAACATTTCTTACTATGTTTTAGGTATTTCTTTTAAAAACAGCATATAGTTAGATTTTTTTTCTTGTCTCTTAAAAATCAGTTTTGTTAATCTTTCTCTTTCACTAGAGTTTCTAATCCATTTACATTTAGTTTAATTAAATTGAATGTATTTAACATTTTATGTTCTACTTTATATCATCTTACCCCATTATAGTTTTTTTTTCCCTCTCATTAATTGACTTCTTGTTGTTGTTGTTGTTGTTGAGAAAGGGTCTTGCTCTGTCACCCAGGCTGGAGTGCAGTGGCACAATCTCAGCTCACTGCAACCCCTGCCTACCATGTTCAAGTGATTCTCCCACCTCAGCCTCCTAAGTAGCTGGGCTTACAGGTGATTGCCACTGTGCCTGGCTAATTTTTTTTTTTTTTTTTTAGATGGAGTCTCACTCTGTCGCCCAAGCTGGAGTGCAGTGGTGCAATCTCAGCTCACTGCCAGCTCTGCCTCCCAGGTTCACGCCATTCTTCTGCCTCTGCCTCCTGAGTAGCTGGGACTACAGGTGCCCGCCACCATGCCCAGCTAATTTTTTTGTATTTTTTTTAGTAGAGACGGGGTTTCACTGTGTTAGCCAGGATAATCTCGATCTCCTGATCTCATGATCCACCCGCTTCAACCTCCCAAAGTGCTGGGATTCCAGGCGTGAACCACCGTGCCTGGCCAGTTTTTTTTTGTATTTTTAGTAGAGACGAGTTGCACCATGTTGGCCAGGCTAATCTCAAACTCCTGGCGTCAAGTGATCTACCCAACTTAGCCTCCCAAAGTGCTGTATATATTCTTATAAGGCAGTTTTGTTAATGATTGACCATGTGTTTCAGAGGTCATAGTGGAAGAATTTTAGGAGATGGAGCAGACATGGCAAGTGAGGAGAAAGAATATAAAGAGCTATGTGTGTGGTGATCAGAGTCCGAGTCATGAATGAAGGCTTTTGAAGGCTGGGCCTGTTGAGTTGGTAGACACAAACTGGGGAAAATAATTTAATGAGGTTAATCCTGCTGGTCTGAAGGCAGAGAATAATTGTGAAACTGTGGCTGTTGTAATATGGAAGGAGAGGTATGAATCTTGGCCTGGAAAATGTAGAACTCTGGCACCTGTTCCTCATTCCTGGTAATAGTGTTATGAAACAATTCTTTCTGTTTTCTAGAGGTCATCCCTTCTCAAGCAGAAAATTAAGAACTAATGAGCTAGGGCATTTATTATAGATGATAAATCAACTTCTGTACACCTAGAGTGGTCCTCGCTGTCAATGTCTTTGGGACAATGGGGAAAATAGTCCCTCAAATCATTTTTTGTAGGGCTTAATTATGCCATGGAACCCTGGTTAATACTGTTCTGGATACTAATCTTAGGTTGGTTTTATATATGCACATTTCTACTAATTTATAATGTGCCTTTTTAATGTATTTATTTGAATGAATACAAATTCTCATTTTTAATGTAGGCAAATGTGACCATCTTTTTTATAGTTTATGGTTTTTATGTCTTATTTAAGATATACTGTCCTTCCCCCAAGATTATAAATATATTGTCTTATATTTCCCGTTGAAAGCTTTAAACGTTTTGCCTTTTGTATTTAAAGTTCTTTGTTTGTCTAGATCTATTTTCTGTATGATGGTACAAGGTCGGAATCTGCTTTTTTTTTCTCGAGGAAGATCAATTGTCTCAACATCATTTATTAAACAGTTCATCCTTTCAGTAGTGGTCCGCAGTGCCAGCTCTGTCACAGATCAGATTTTCAGATATGCATAGGACATTTTTTGTGTTCTTTATTCTATTTCATTTGACTGCCAAAAATATACCAAAATCAAATTGTCCTAATTATTTTAGTTTTCTAGTAAGCGCACGTATCTGGTAGAACACATTCATCTCCCTCCTCCCCACATCCCACCTTGTTCTTCTTCAGGAGTATCTTGGCTCTCTGCTTTTCCCCCATTAAATTTTAAAAATCACTGGTCAAAGTTCCAGGAAAACCCGACTGGGATTTTGGTTAGAATTGCATTGATCGTATAGAATAATCTGAGGGAAAACTGACATCTTTACATTACTGATTCTTTTTCATGTTTGTCTTAATTCTTCCAAAATGTGTCACTGTGTTATTGGCAATTTATGTGGGAATATAAGAGATGTCGGTGTATGCCTGTTTGTCAAGATGAGAATAATTTTTTATTGTATTTCTGAAAAATAGGTACTTGAAAATTCAGTCAGTGCTGTGTATTTATGCGTACCTGAAAGTTCAGCTATAAAAAGTGTCTGTCTTTAAAATAAAGGAGCATTTTCCTTATGAGAACAATTGTGGATTTAGGGATGAGGGTCAAAGTTCTTTTGTGCCCAGCTCAGAAGCAGTATAGCAAAACAGTTAAGCAAAGCTTATGTGGGTCACTTATATGCATGGGCAACCATGAGAGGCAGTAAACAAAGTGGATATGAGCTTGGAGCTTGTGTCTTGGGAGCCACACTTTCTGTGTTGAAATTCTTGTCCTGCCACTTATTACAAAATACTTCTGGTGGGTCAGGTTTTTTTTTTTCTGTAAGATGGAGTGAGTAGTAATACTTATTTCTTTGAGTGATTGTGAAGAATAAATAAGTTAATATACATAAAGCGTTTGGTCATTAATTGTCACCCAGTATAGAAGGAAGATTGGTGAGGTAGTTGAGATCATGACTTCAGCAGTTGTGTATGTTCAACTTTCCTATGTCTTTCCTCTCAACATCCCCTCTACTTCTTCCTCATTTTTAGTTAGTATATTTATCAACTGAGTATTAGAACATAGTATAATAGTGAAGAGTATAGGCTTTGGAGTCTGGTTAACCTGGACTAAAATGCTAGCTTTACCCTTTTTTAGTACCATAAGGCAAATTAATCTCTAGCCTTCAGTTTTCTTACCTGTAAACTCGTAATAATAATAATGTCATAGTTTACAGTTGTTGTGAGAGCTAAATAAAATGTGATTAGCATAGTTTCTTGCACATTTCAAATTTTATTTTTTGTCATCATCATCATTATTATCATCATCTGTATTCTTATCTGTAAAATTGGGATGATACAACCTGCTTGGTAATACTGTTGGAGGACTAAATCAAATAATGTATGTAAAGTGTTTAGTATGATGACTGAAACAGAGTATATGTCCAATAAATGGTACTGTAAATGTGTTTTTATTTAGTTTTTCATTTCTGTTTTACATACTGTATACAAATATAGATTGGTGTTTGAAAATAGCGTTTCAACCTTATATGCTATAAGTACAAATACCTTTTTACTTCTGTATGGCTTAAGACTTTTCCTCTTTGTATCAGTGGTGCTTGATTAGAAACAATAGTCCTCTAAGTCTGACATACCCAATTTTGTCGTACTTTCTACTCTTAGCCCACTCTTATTTACTGTGAGTCAGTTGCTTTTTTCCTTTATTTTCATTATATCTGATATTCTGTGATGTATATCTTTTAGTTTTTAATGGTAGAATCTTTTAGTTTTTATCTTTATGTTTTTTATTAACATGTGTTTATCCTCTGCTGACAGTCATGCAGTAGATTACAACAAACTTCTATTAGCAGGAAAGTTTCATTAAACTTCAGGCTCTTAATCTTAAGGTTATATATGATCCTTTTACACAAGTGTTGTCTAAAATGGTTCTTTTTAATTATATTATTTTTAAGCAATTTTTGTTTTATTGTTTTTAGAATAGAACAGTTGATAGCCAAAAAACAAGAAATGGTCATTGATCAATCTATCTCATTCTACTGCTCTTTCTTTTCAGAGTGGCAGACAACACACTACGTTTTCAGCAGAATCAAGTCGAAGCCTTTTGATCTGTCTACTTTGGGTTCTCAAAAATGCAGATGAAACAGTTCTACAGAAGTGGTTTACAGATCTCTCAGTCTTACAGCTAAACCGGCTGTTAGATCTGCTTTATCTTTGTGTATCTTGCTTTGAGTATAAAGTAAGTGGTCATTATACCATTGCAAAGAACAAGAAAGGAAACATAATGCGGAAAAAATAGAAGAAAATTTCCTCAAAACCTGTTCTCTTCTAATGTTTAAATTTTAGGGGAAAAAAGTGTTTGAAAGAATGAATAGCTTGACCTTTAAGAAATCAAAAGACATGAGAGCAAAGCTTGAAGAAGCTATCCTTGGGAGCATAGGAGCTAGGCAAGAAATGGTACGCCGAAGCCGAGGACAGCTCGGTACGTACACAATAGCTTCTCCTCCTGGTGAGAATTTCTTCAATTTCCTTGAGTTATATATTGTAATGATTATTGTTGCTAGTCTTAAATGTCAATCCTATGCTTTTCAAAAAGCATTTTAACTGTAACTGTAAATTAACTTGAATAATCATTTCTCTGCAGTAATACAAGTTAGAATTATGATTAAGGTAAGTCAACATACCCCCTAGTTTTCTCTAGATAGTCTTGGTTCATACCTGTTGCCCTTATATAGTTAATAGCATCCATCCTCCCTTTTTAAAAAGGCTTTATTTTTGTAGAGCAGTTTTAAGTTCACAGTAAAACTGAGCAAAAGTACAGAGATTTCCCATATACCCCTTAGCATGCATAGCCTCCCCCATTATTAACATCTGCCATCAGAGGTGCATTTATTGTAACTGGTGAACCTACATTAACACATCATCACCCAGAGTCCATAGTTTATGTTAGGGATGATTCTATGTAACGTCTGTTTTTACTTTTTTTTTTTTTTTTTTTTTAATTGAGACAGATTCGCCCTCTGTCACCCAAGCTGGAGCACAGTGGTGTGATCGTGGCTTACTGCAGCATTGACCTCCCTCGCCCAAGCAATTCTTCCACCTTCACCCCCCAGTACACACATACCCTGGTAGCTGGGACTACAGGTGTGAACCACCATGTTCAACTAATTTTTTTTTTTTCTTTTATAGAAACTGTCTCACTATATTGCCCAGGCTAGTCTTGAATTCCTGAGCTCAAGTGATCCTCCCACATTGGCCTCTCACGGTGCTGTGAGCCACCATGCCTGGCCCATTTTTACTCTTTATTTGCAAAATGAATTAATATGCCCTGTATGTAAGGCAAAAATATTGTCCATGAAACTCAAATAGCAGTGAGACAAAACAGTTTAGTAGCATTTGAGACTGGTTTTCTAATCCCAGATCTGCTACCCATTAGCCAAATAACCTTGGCCAAGTCACTTAATCTCCCCACCTTCCTTTTCCTTATAAATTTGTGATTGTTTTCAGAATTTAGAAGATAGTGTAACTAACTGATCTTATCATCTTTATAGTAATCATGTATGTGGAAACGTTTGTAAATTCTAAAGTGACATACAGACAAAACTGTTGCTAAGAGTTTCTTAAGGCCAGGACCATGGGTTGGTCACCTGTGTAGATGATACATGCCACAGCACAATATGTATTTGTTGACTTAAAATATGAATGTAAGTGTGAATGGATTTTTAATTGTTTTCTGACAGTCCATTAGCATAATAATCATGTTTATCATTTATATACTATGTGTTTTATAGTAATGAAAAGACAGTCTTTGCCTTTAAAAAAAACAGAGCACCATTTTTTCACTTTAGTTATACACAATTTAAGGTGTACTTTTGGGTTTTCATTCATTATAGATGGAAACCCTTGGCTGGGCGCAGTGGCTCACGCCTGTAATCCCAGCACTTTGGGAGGCCGAGGCGGGCAGATCACGAGGTCAGGAGATCAAGACCATCCTGGCTAACATGGTGAAACCCCGTCTCTACTAAAAATACAAAAAAATAGCCAGGCGTGGTGGCAGGTGCCTGTAGTCCCAGCTACTCGGGAGGCTGAGGCAGGAGAATGGTGTGAACCCTGGAGGTGGAGCTTGCAGTGAGCCAAGATCGCGCCACTGCACTCCAGCCTAGGTGACAGAGCGAGATTCCATCTCAAAAAAAAAAAAAGAAAAGAAACCCTCTGAAAACGTATGAAAATTAACTTTTACTGAGATCATTTAATTATTACCAAACCCTAATGAATAATTATAGTCATCTTTTAGATTAAGAAAATAAAACACAAAGAAGTAAATAACTGCCTAAGATCATAAACTAAGTGACAGAACCAGGATTTTTTGATTTCTAATTTAGCGTTCTTTCTCTTATACCACAACCCTGAGGTTTATTTTTGGAGAGAATGGAACTATTAACAATATACTTGTTACATTTTTTAACCTGTGGCCTCAGGAAATCTATCATTGTTTGAATATAAGAATTGAAGTCTTTTTATCTTATAATTCTTGTAATTATTATTTGTCTTGTAATTCTTATTTACATTTCTACATTTAAGTTAGGTCAATAATAGACATTGGTTTATTAGGTCTAATAATAGACATTCTTTTATTTTTCTTAACTTTCAGTTCTAAGACATTATTAACTAATGAGACAGTTTTGTGGGAAAAAATGTAAATGATAGAAAATTATACTTAATTTTGCTAACTATCTTAATATAGGCATATCTTTTTGGTTTTTTTCCATAAATTTCTTAAAGACATGGATTTCAAAATTTAAAAAAGGGAAAGAGATAAGGAAAGAAAGGAAAGGAAAGGGAAAGAAATTGGAAGAAATAGAGACATGTCCTTTATTTTGCAGGAAATCATTCTTATTTCTCAGTATTTTTTGTATTTCTTTAATTGACGTATATATAGTTGTATTTTTCAGTATTTTTAAAAATTTCTATTTGAACTCTGAACTTTTACTTTCATTGTTCTTCCATCCTCTCAACCAATTTAAACTTATCATTTTCAAAAACAAGCAGTTTTGTAGTTGAAAGTTTGAAATTATGACTGAGTCCATTGTTTAAATGTATATTTATATTATCCACATTCTCAATGCTGTCTCCACTTCTAATGGATTTATATGAATTATTTCTATTGCTGCCACCCCTTAAAGGAACCCATACATGCAGTCTGCCTTCAAACCTAGAAACCTCTTAAGGGAAAACTCCGTTCTTCCTCTTGTTCTGCCTTATATAGACCGAAAGAAGTAATTACTTTAGGAGTCCTTCCTATTTTGTTTATATATTAAACAGAAACTTACTGAGCTCTCAGTATGCACCAATTTATCAGCCTAGACATAACATGCTGAACAAAGTACATATCATTTCTGTTCTTAAGGAGCTTATATACTTGTGGTCCTAAGTGTTATGGAAAGGAACAAAGCAAAGGAAAAGGAAAAGGAGGTATTGGAGAGTGGGAGGCCTTTCTAAGGAGGTGATAAATGAAAATTTGTGAGAAGAACAAGAAAAAGGAACAACAACCACTGCACAGGTTGTAAGTCAGAAACATAGAATATATACTGATAGATTTGCAAGAAAAACAGCAGTAAGCAAGAGGAAGAATGGTAGGAAATAAAGTCATATCATGTAGGGCCTTATAAGCCATGGTTAAGATTTTAAGAAAATCAATGTTAGAACATTTGCTTATTTAAATGGATATTGTTTTCAAAAAAAATACTGCATATAGCAAGTACATTTTTTCTGAAATTATTGTGAAAATTTTTAATAAAAAGCACCATTGTCAGGTTTTTCTACTTGTACTGAGGATAAAATGGCTTGTGCAAATTATTGTTGTATTTCTTACATGATTGCAAGTATACATATATGTGGTCCAACTGAAATATCATTTGAAAATCAGCTTTGAAATTTATTTGACAGAGAGAAGTCCATCTGGAAGTGCCTTTGGAAGTCAGGAAAATTTGAGATGGAGAAAAGATATGACTCACTGGCGTCAAAACACAGAGAAGCTTGACAAGTAATAGAGCTTTCTATTTTATGTTACTGATGGGTGTGTTGAATTTTAAAATGCAAGAGAAAAATGAAAACTTTTACTTTATATTTGTATTTAGTATTGACATTTAATAAATATACTTATTAAGTCTTGGACAAAATATTTAATTTTAAAATTTTAGATTTAAAAAGATTTGGAGGAAGAACTTCTCGTGGTATAGTAAGGCAAAATGTTATATTTTAAACTCCATTTTCTCTAAAACATCCTCTTGGAAAATGCATTCAGCAACTATTTTTGGAACATATTTTAGGTGTTACATTGAACTAATTTTTTTTTTTGAAATGGAGTTTTGCTCTGTTGCCCAGGCTGGAGTGCAGTGGCCTGATTTCAGCTCACCGCAACCTCCGCCTCCTGATGAACTAATATTTCAAATATTACAAAGAATTAGAAACCTGACATTTGTCTTCATGCAGCTTATAATGTAATTCAAGAAAGACAAAACAATACAGGTCTTCTGTTTCTAGCATGAAGGCAGACTTGATACATTGACTGATCCTACTGCCATAACCACCTGCAATGCACTTACATGAGTCTTCTCACTGCCCAAGTGGCTGCAGGTAAACTTGCCTAGCTTGAGATCTGGCATTGAGTCAAGGGGCTAAAATTTTTCTCTTGAGAATTTGTAATTGTAAGTTAGCCCGCAAGTAGCTTCACTGGCCCATAAAACTTTGAGAATGGAGTGACCAACTCATTCAGGTTTGCCTAGCACTCTCCCAGTTATAGCACATATTGTCCCACATCCCAGGGAGCCCCTTAGTCCTGTTCTAAGGCAAACCAAGATGATTGATTACCATGTCTGAGAACTGTCATCAGCCCAAGCCTCAGAAGATTCTCACAAATAAACTTTCACCAGTATTTTCTCACAGACGGTTAAATCATAACACAGAGGAAACAAGTGAGAGCCAGCAGAGAAACAAGTTTCAGTACCATATGTATGAGAGCTTGAAATAATCAGATATTGAATGTAATATTAAAATTCTTAACCTTTGAATATGTGCTTTCCTTTCTTTTTCTCCATCTGTCCAAATCTATTTCTCTGATGTTTTTTCTACTTGTGTTATTTTTTAGAAATCACAGAGTAGCCAGGTGCTACACTATCAGTATATTGTTTTATTTCTGCATTTGTAGAACATGTTCTCTTGGTTTACCTTGCTGTATTTTGAGGGAGACTTTTTTGGTGTTCTCCTAATTCTTTCTGTTTAAACCATCTTATGTTACTTTATAAAATGTCACTGGAAATTTTAAGTTTGAACATTAAACATTTTGTTTTCCAGTTTAATGTTGTAATGTTGATAATTGTATTTTATTCTTTTTTTTTTTTTTTTTTTGAGACAAGGTCTCACTCTGTCATCAGGCCAAAGTGCAGTGGCACAGTCATGACTCGCTGTAGCTTTGACCTCCTGGGCTTAGGTGAGCCTCCCACCTCAGCCTCCCAAGTAGCTGGGACTATAGCTGTGCACCACCACACCCAGATAATTTTTGTATTTTTTTTGGTGGAGACAGGGTTTTACCATGTTGTGCAGGCTGGTCTCTTCACTCCTGGGCTCAAGTGATCCCCTGCCTCAGCCTCTCAAAGTGCTTTTATTCTTAAATTGAATTTGTAAAATGTAAATTAATGAAGTATTCCCCTTAGTGGTAATAATAAAGATTCACAGACGTATAGATCTAAAAACTTAGAAAAGCTAGCGTTTAATATGTCCTTATACTTTATGTGTTATTTTGTCTACTTTGGTATAATATATAGTGCCTGTATATCTATTGTTGCTAAAACAAAAATCTCGGCTATATTCATAAATCATGTGTAAATATCCTTAAATTTTTATTTGCATTAAATGATACTTTTATAAATATTAGTGTTTAAACTACTTTATTGCATCAAACTGTTTTGTTCTTTTTTCTTTATTTTTCTAGCTTTATTGAGTTATAATTGACAAAAATTGTGTATATTTACAGAATATAACATGACCTTTTAATATATGTGTACAATTGTGAAGTGATTACCACAGGCAAGCTAACTAGCATATTCATCACCTCACGTCCTTTTTTCCCTAAATTGTTTTGTTTCCAATGAGTGATTCCATCTAGTCTCACTGAAGAGTTAAATTATCTGAGCATATTTATATTTTAAAAATTGGGGGAAATTAGATGAAACCTTAGACAAAATAAGTACATTTGTCCTGAATACAGACATTGGAAATCTTTGAAATAGTAAGATGAATACTAAATATTTGAATGTTGTTTCCCATGAAGCAGTCCTAAATACAAGCCCACATAGCACCACCTAGTGTCAGTGTCACTTAGAATAAAACTGCTGCATGTCTGAAAGCTAAAACATAAACATTTGTGCTTTTAGTGGCATTAAGCTTCTGTAATGGGGTGAGAAAATGTGTATTGTGGTTAACAAACAAGCCACGTAAATGTGTAAACTATTGCCTTTTTTCTTATTCTCTTGTAATTTTTTGTTGGGCAAATACTGAAAATGGTTTGAAATTTTTTATTTCTATGCATCCTTAAGGCTTTTCAGAATTGTGGTTTTCAAAAAGATAAATATAATTTCTTAAAATATTTTGTATTAGATCAAGAGCAGAGATTGAACACGAAGCACTGATTGATGGAAACCTGGCTACAGAAGCAAACTTAATCATTTTGGATACATTAGAGATTGTTGTTCAGGTAAGAATTCAAAGAAGAGAAATTTAAGATATAGATTTGGTAAATTGAGGTTGGAGGGAAAAGTCTTTACTGTGAGCCATAAAATTACATTTAAATATTAGTAGTTCCTAAAAGTTTCATTCCAAGCATTCTGAGATTCTTTGTAATTATAAATTCCAATAGCTTCAACTATTTCTTCATGGAGGATGATTATGAAATTTTTATCTCCTTGTCTTTCCCCTTCATGGCCTAGTCTTGCATTTCCAAATATCCTCTGAGTATTTATAGTTGGATGTTCTGCCATCAGGTGAGATTCAACATGCATGTATAGCTATAGCTACATATAGATACACTGAGTTTATGCAGCATCCTGTGTATACTACAGCAGTGTTTCAGGCTCTTTGTCTATAATCATCATGTTGGGTCCTAACAGTAGCCCTCTAAGCAGTATTATCCTGTAGTAACAATGTGATAGCCGACATGTATTTAGTTTTTTCTGTGTTAAACATTGTCCTAAGCCCTTTACAAATGTCGACTCATTTGATCCTTCTAAGAAACTCATGGCATTGAAACTGTCAGTATCCTCATCTTGTAGATGAGAATACTTAGGCACGAAGATGTTAAATAACTGCCCATAATGACGCAGCTAGTATGTAGAAGAGCCAGGATTCAAATCAGTTAGCAAGATCTCTCAGACATTTTAGTAAATATATCTCTCACCTATTCCTTCCATTCCTTTTCTCCTACCACTGCTCTGCCAGGTTCATATTTCAGCGTGATTACAGTGGCCACCTGCTTCATGATAACTCACTCTGTGTTCTTCCTACCATCCATTCTGTACATTTTCATGAGACTTTTCCTTTAAAAATATTTTATGGCTGGGCACAGTGGCTCGTGCCTGTAATCCCAGCACTTTGGGAAGCTGAGGTGGGCGGATCATTTCAAGTCAGGAGTTCAAGACCAGCCTTACCAACATGGCAAAACCCTGACTGGACTCTATTTATTTATTTATTTATTTATTTATTTTTATTGATTTATTTTTGAGACAGTTTCACTCTTGTTGCCCAGGCTGGAGTGCAGTGGCATGATCTCGGCTCACCACAACCTCTGCCTCCCGGGTTCGAGTGATTCTCCTGCATCAGCCTTCCAAGTAGCTGGGATTACAGGCGTGTACCAGCACACCCGGCTAATTTTGTATTTTTAGTAGAGACGGGGTTTCTCCATGTTGGTCAGGCTGGTCTCAAACTCCTGACCTCAGGTGATCTGCCCGCCTCAGCCTCCCAAAGTGTGGGGATTACAGGCGTGAGCCACTGCACCCAGCCAACCCTGACTCTACTAAAAATAAAAAAATTAGCTGGGTGTGATGGCGCGCTTCTGTAATCCCAGCTCCTCAGGAGGCTGAGGCACAAGAATTGCTTGAAGCCATGAGGCAGAGGTTGCAGTGAGCCAAGCCACTGCACTTCAGCCTAGGTGACAGACTCCATCTCAAAAAAAAAAAAAGATTTTATCAGTCATTATCCTGACTTCCTGACTAAAGTTTTAAAAATATAAAAAATTTACTAAGTCCAAGATACCTAATCCAAGATGGTTGCTTGAGCTGCAGCTGTCATGTCTGTATTTTATTCAGTGAAAAGAAACAGCAGGGACAGAGTACATTTCTTCTTTTAAGGGCATGACTCAGAAGATGAAACTTCTGTTTCGTTCACCTCTCTCTGTAGCCGTATTCAAAGTCTTCAGCTAAAATTCAGGGTTTCAATTATTTAAGAAGAAAAGAATGGTTATTTGTGTACCAGCAACATTTTTTGCTCCAGGCGCCACTCTATTTTTCAGCCTTATCTGTAGTTGTTTTCTACATGAACCTCAAGTCAGTTCAGACTTACTTACTAATTTTCCTAAAAAACACCTTATGATTTCTTGGCATTGTATCTTGCTCCTCTTTTTTCTTATTTAAATTATATTTTTTCTTTTTCCCCCTTTTCTTATCCAAATCCTTCTTGAAGCCATTCTAGATCTTATATTTTTTTTTTATCTTTTAAAACTTTATTTATACATAGGGAGGCCTGTAACCTCCCTAACTAAATGGCAGGTACATCTCTATTTTATTTGTTTATTTTTAAATTGCAGACTGTTTCTGTAACGGAATCCAAAGAGAGCATTCTTGGTGGAGTGCTAAAAGTGCTACTACACAGCATGGCCTGTAACCAAAGTGCAGTTTATCTACAACACTGTTTTGCTACACAGAGAGCCTTGGTTTCAAAGGTGGGTTATTTTATACCTGCAGTGTTGTCAGACTTTGTTTTCTTTGTTAACATTATCTAAGATCATTTGACACATTCATTGGTTAATATATGTAGTAATATATTAATGAATATGTGTAGTTAAAATTTAAATAATAACCTAAGATGCTTGATTCTTCTTTGCCTCTCTACTGCTGCCTGCCTTTTGGAATTTTTCATTTATTCGAATCACCTTTAACCAGTTCTGGTTTAAAAAACAGTAACTTGGATGTGGAGAAGGGCCTGAAATTAATAGCCAATCTTAAATATGGGGCTTCTCTTGTTTTCTCTCCACTTGGTTCTGTTTTTTAAAAAAACTTAATTTATAAAGAATTCAATATATAAGCAATTCAACCCACTGAAATTATTTTATGATGAATGGAAAAGAAGGTGTGTGTTTGTTCAACTGCTTTAAATATTTACTTCTTATATTTGTTTTCCCTCAGAAATATGTATATTCTTAAATTTTGAAGGTAGCTATTTCGTTTTAATCATCCTAGAAGATGGAGTGCAGAGACGTTGATGAAAATAACTTATGTATTATTTTGTAATAAATGTAGAATTCATGTATGTTGATTACTAAGTGTTTTATGCACATTCTGATAGAAGCTTCACAACAATCCCTTGTAGATATATTATTAGGCCTATTTTGTGGATGAGAAAACTTGTCCAAGGTCACACTACTAGTTAGTAAGTGGCATAATCAACATTTGAACCCAGTTTGACTGTGTGTCTCACGCTATTAACTATTAGCTAATATCGTCCTAACCGTTCTTTTAATTTCTGGGCTATATTAACAAATCTCCAGCTCAGGTTATATTAACATATCTCAGGAACTTTTACTGTAAAAATTCAGTAGTGGTTTGTTGTTGTTTTACAGTTTCCTGAACTCTTATTTGAAGAAGAGACAGAGCAGTGTGCTGATTTATGCCTCAGGCTTCTCCGACACTGTAGCAGTAGCATCAGTACAATACGGTCACACGCCAGTGCCTCCCTTTACCTACTAATGAGGCAAAACTTTGAGATTGGGAATGTAAGTATTTAATCATGAAAATTCTCTGTATTCATAATGAAATATAACTTCTGCTGATAGTTATTAAATCAGTTTTGGGAGTAATCATAGGCTATCTTGATATTTCTCATTCTGTGTATATCTTACAAAAATCCAAATCTCCAATTGTGTGCATATCATATGTATGTGTGTACGTATGTATATTAATACAGACTTAGAATATAAATGTACATTGAGCAATTTTAAATTTTAATTGTCCCTAAGTAAAAAGAAATAAAAGTTTAAGTATCTTGGCTTGATATTTTACAATTACATGTCACAGCCTTTGAAGAATTCCATTTTTTCATTTAAGTCTTTTATTATATGTTATATTCATGTGTTATATTTTTCCTTTTGAGTCAAATATTTAGTCAAATATTTAGTTTGAGTCAAATATTTATTTTTGCGTATGTAAGTATTTAAGGCCTTGAATTTTCCTTTAAGCACTATTTTTGGCATCTCCTTGGTTCTAATATTTAGTAATCTTGTCATTTCAGTTTGTATTTTCTTTTTAATCCAAAGAGTTGAGTAGCCTTTTTGTTTCAAAGTTTTGGCTGATTCCAGTGACTCACACCTATAATCCCAACACTTTGGGTGGCCGAGGAAGGAAGATTGCTTGAGGCCAGGAGTTTGAGATCAGCCTGGGTGACATAGTAAAACCCTATCTCTGCAAAAAAATACTAGCCAAGCTGGGTGGCCCGTGCTTGTGGTCCCAGCTACTCAGGAGGCTGAGGTGAGAGGATCCCTTTGAGCCCAGGAGTGTGAGGTTGCAGTGAGCTGTGAACACACCACTGTACTCCAGCCTGAGTGACAGAGTGAGATCCTGTCTCAAAAAAAAAAATTTTTTTTATTGTTAATTTTCAGCTTTATTACATTGTGATTGTACAGTGTATATTCTGTTTCTCCCTTTCTTTATTGTGGATCTGTGTATTTGTGTGTCTAAATATAATCTATTTTTATGAGTGTTCTACAAAAAATCTTTAAAAGGGGAGTATTTCTGTTTTCAGAATATTGAGTTAAACATATACCAGATAAATACACCTTATTAATCACATAGACTGCATATCATTGTTTTTTTTCCACTTGGTAGAAGTAAATTAAAGCCTGTAACTGTGTTTGTCTGTTTCTCCTTCAGCTTTTATTTGGTGTACTAATACTCATAACTACTATATTTTCTTAAGAGTTTTTCTCCTTTGGAATTTAAAAGAACTTTTGTTGGTTTTATTTAAAACCTTTATTCTATTTTATTTTTTGGCCTGAATTTCATCTCTTACGGTATTAAGATTTTGACCTCTGCTTTCTTTTTAATTTGAAATTACTTTATTTGCTTTTGCCTGTTCTTTAATTTTCACTTTATTTTAGATGTGCCTCTCATATACAACATAAGAGTTGAGTTTTGCTTTGTGATCCAACCTCTAATTGAATGAAACTTTTCATACTTGTTATTATATTACGTATGTCCAGGAATCCTATTTTATTATTTTGTTATGCCTTTCCCTCTTGCCTCCCCTTTTAAAAAAATGTGTGTTGGTTGTTTTCATCTTACACTGTATGGTCTGTTTACCTTGTTTTGGGGAGGTAGTGTTTATCATATTTAGCAAAATTTCTGGTTTTGCTAGGTTGCCTTTATAGTCATGTAATACCCCTAGTCCTCTATTTCTTTAGATCATGCATTCTCAACCAGGGCAGTATTACCACCAAGGGAGTGAAAATTGATTTTTGTGGAGGATGAGAAAAATCTTAGCTTATGGTCCTCCAAAGCTCAACACTACCCAACAACATGGCATTGCTTAGTATTACATGGCATTGCTTAGTATTTATTTCTCTCATTGGTGTTACTGGGTATCACATGAGCAGCACTGACATTAAGTTCTTGGAAAATAAAAAACAAAATGTATGCAAAATTGGGTTATAAAACTGGAGAATAAATGACTGTGATTGGAGACTTTTAATCAATTGCTTGATCTCAGTCATATGGCAAGAGGTTGCTTCCATTGGCTGCCTTGTGGATATTGTTTATGTTTGGTTCTCAGTGCATTTGTGTGTGACTTGGGCTTTGAAAATTAAGCCCAAGAAAAAAACTTTCCAATTTATTACTTCATTCTACAAAAGTTATTCAAGCAATTTTTAATCGTGTCAGTTGCTGAAAAGAAAAAAGTCAACAATATCTAAATGAATATATAGTAGCCAGAACGTATTTTCTTCTATCAAGCAAATAGTGAAAGTTCGCTGAAATAACTTTTAAGAAATTAATTTTTAATTCTTTTGGTGGATAAGTAGCAGTTTTGAATGGTTTAAAAAAATTGATTACATTGCTGCTTTTGTAGTTATATAAGTTGCTAATTTATTTGTGTAATTTGATACATTACAGTTTATTTAAGCTAAAAGATTATATTAAAAGTTTTTCAGAAAACCAGCCTATAAAGGTAAGCTAAATGTAAATCATTTTCAGATTTTTAACTTAAAATTTGTATCTAGTCATTCATAACCTTGCATCGAGTAAAAAGAGTAAGCTTCATATTTACTTTCTTATGTGTATATAAATCCAGATATACATAGAGTGCATAAACAGATGTATACATCTCTGATATTAAAATATCATAGGGATGTAATTAGAAAAATTGTTCAAAAAGATTTATAAGAGGGACAATAATGAAAAAAAATTGAGAAACTCTACTTGAAATAAGTATCTATTAACTCCCTTTAATGAACAGTAATAAAATTGCTGATTTTCTTCTTTCTCTCCTCCACCCTGTCATTCTTTATACCTCAATATTTCAAAAAAGTATCTTTCTTACTGTTTACATTTGTATTGTTGAATCTGCATGTACTTCACTTGATTTAATTGCCACCTTCAAATAACGTTATTTGTTTTATGTCTACTGTAGATTGTTAAGTACTTCTTTCCATCTCCTTTCTCACCCTCCTAATTTTTTTCTTAGCTGTAACATTTCAGTCTTAGTTCATAGTCTTAGTTGTAAAATGAAATATTGCTTACCATGAGTTTTTTGGGGCTGTAATTATTGTTTAGCTAAATGTTGTCCTCATCAAGGTTCTTAGGAGTAATATTTTCCAAGTGGTTTTTTTGGTTTTTTTAAGTAGAGACAGGAACTCACTTTGTTGCCCAGTCTGGTCTTGAACTCCTAGGCTCAGGCAGTCCTCTCTGTATGGCCTTCCAAAGTGCTGGGACTGCAGGTGTGAGCCACCTCACCCTGCCCGCCCCACTCACCCCACTTTTAAAAATAGAGACAGCGTTTCTTCCTGTCACCCAGGCTAGACTGCAGTGGCATGATGGTACTTCACAGTAGCCCAGAAATCCTGGGCTCAAGCTGTCCTCCCACCTTGTCCACCCAGAGTGTTGGGATTACAGGCAGTAATCACTGCACCCGGCCAATTTTCCAAGTTCTTGATTGTTTAAAGTTATCTGTATTTGTAGGATAGCAAGGGTGTTTATGAAATTTTTGCCTTATACTTTGAATAATAATAAGCGTGAGAAAAATCAGCAAAACTTATCAGATAAAGAACACCTCATAGGAAAAAAGGGTACTTGAGTACCATTGTCTTCTGACATTAAATATTGTTGTGGATACATTGAAAGGTAGCCTGATATTTTTCTCTGTTTTAAATAACATTTTTTCCTCCAGCTGCTCATGAGATTTTCTTTATATTTACAATTAAATGCCTTTTCTAGAATTTGTCTTAGTATTGAAAAGGCTTAGCTTTTTCAATTACACCTTTATCCTAGCCAACTATAAATTATTTTATCACCGTACTCTCAGTGCCTACTATGTAGTGTGACATATTTACTGAGTTGAATTCTTGAATTTTATCCTTAAAACTTTGGACAACTGCCTTAGGGGCATTTTAAAGAGAGGAGGAACATGTTCAGATTTGCATTTTACAGAAAGTTCCCTGGTGCTAGGTAGAGGTTAGACTGAGAGATATGAAAGAAAAAGGCATGGAGATCGATTAGGAAGTTATTACAGTAATCTAAATAAGAAATGATGAGGGTGTAAAATAAAGCAAAGGCATTGGGAATGGAGAAAGGATATACTGGATCACATTAGGAGATGGTGTAGATTTGGATTTATGGTATGAAAAATGAGAGGGGAGAATGAATAGGGGACCCCTAGATTTTTGGCATGACTACAAGAATAGTATCACTTTTTTAGATAATCAATAGGGAGAGAAGGTATTGTAGACATGTTGACTTTGTGGTACCTATGAGACATCCAGATGGTGCTATCTAGTAAACTATGAGAGCCTGGAGTTCTACAGAGAAATATCAGCTGGAGACGGAAACATGTGTATACTGGTCGAAGCAAAGACATGGATGAGGCTCTTTAGAGTATGTTAAGTGAGAAAAGTTTTTTGACAGAATCTTTGGGAATACTGGTATTTAGGAAGGACAACCAAGGAATAAAACAGAAAAAGAGTTGAAAAAGAATAGAAAACCAGGATAAAGTGGTGCCACTGAAGATAAGGTAGGAGATTTTCAAGGAGAAAGTAATTTAAATATACAAAGATATGAAGTAGAATATTGAGCAAAAAATATTGGATACGACAATTGATATATTATCACCAATAATCTCTTAAGAATGATTTCATGGTAGAGAATGGTGGAGCAGAAATGAATTTACACTAAAAAAAAAGGAAGAATGTAAGTTATAAGCTGTTAAAGGCGTCACTCCAAAAGATTCTACCTTACATTACTTTACGCATGATGTGTGTTAAATTGCTTTCATCATAGTGTGGATGTCATGAAATGGACTAGAATTTAAGTACTCCATCTACTATTTAAGAATCTTATAATGTCAATCAAGCTATTTAACCTTATCTGTAAAATGTTATATTAATAACATATGCCCATAATAAATAAATGTAAAGACATAAGCAGAATTTCTAATTCAACTCTTAACACATGACTTCTTAAAATCCTGTTTTGTAGTACATTATTCAGAACAAAATTCTAAGTTTTACATCCTTTCTAAAATAAGATTTTGATATACATATTTTATTACTTTAAAAAATATTTTGCTTAGAATGGTATTTTTTCACTAAATATACTTTCAGCGAGGAAAAATAGCAGACTTTTTAAAGCTTTTCTATATTAAGTATTGACTGGACAATTTTTCTGTTACAGAACTTTGCTAGGGTTAAAATGCAGGTAACAATGTCACTATCCTCCTTGGTGGGCACATCTCAGAATTTTAATGAAGAATTCTTAAGGCGTTCTCTAAAGACTATATTGACATATGCTGAAGAAGATCTGGAATTGAGGGAAACAACATTTCCTGATCAGGTCAGAAATGCTACTTTCTAGATCATTAATTGAAATAGGCTTGTTAAATAGGCACTTTCCAAATTGTTAAATCAAAAGTTGGTTTTTGCTGGAGGATCATTTATTTCATTATGAATCCACACATCATGTGCCATAGATAGGACTGAATCTTTTTGTTTTAGTCAGCTACCCTTCTTTTGGAAATAATTAATTCTTTGGTGTTTAATTCTGTGCACTTATAATAAGTAGAACAGTAGACTTGGACAATACAGACAAAGCTTTCTGACAAAACATTCCTACTTATTAATCAAACAATAATATGCCTTATCAACTAAAGTTTCTACAAACTACCTTTTAGTAAAATCAGAAATATAGGAGAGAATTTTCCTTTTGTATTCTTGTATTTCCTATATCCCTCTGTTTTATTTCTACTTATAGTTCTGCTTGTTTCCAGGTGAAAGAACAAAAAATATAGATAGTCTGCTGAGGAATTTATATAAAGTTTACTACCCTTCACTTACCATATCCCCACATACCTATACTTTACAGAACCATATCAATATCATACAACTTGTTTTGAAATCTTTAGATATTTATCTGAAATATCTCTGAAACTAATTTGGTTATTATGGATGAATGACAATTCAAGAATATTTTTCATATAATTCTCTGCTGCAGGTCCAGGATCTGGTTTTTAATCTCCATATGATTCTTTCTGATACTGTGAAAATGAAGGAACACCAGGAGGATCCTGAAATGTTGATTGATCTAATGTACAGGTAGCATTTATTTGATTCATTTATGCTTTGTATAAGGGACTTAGTAAGACATACAGTAAGCATTAGATGAAAAAAATAAACACACAAAAGTGATTTGTGATTTTTCTGTATTTACATTATTTATTGTTTTTATATTTATATATTTTTTACTTTTTTGTAGAGATGGGGCTTCACCATATTGCCCAGGCTGGTCTTGAACTCCTGGGCTCAAGAGATCCGCCTGCCTTGGCCTCCCAAAGTTCTGGGATTACAGATATGAGCCACCCCACCTGGCCTTGAGTGATTTTTTCCAGTGGTAGATTGAAAGTCCAAATGCACTTTTTCCAGGCGGCATCTTTGGATCTTCTGTGTCTCTTCTTTTAAGAACAATGCAAATATACTTATTGATTATCAAAAATAAGAGGATTTTTAAAAATATTCATAACACACATTTAACACCTTGGTGTCCTGGGCCCCAGACTTCCTTTGAAGGCCCATACCAATATTTTAAATGTAAAACTCAGTCTTTTAAGAAGAAAATACAGTATATGAATGTTTTACTGTAACATTAATTACCTTTTTTCAATACTGTTGTGACTAAAGAATGATGTTTCTAAGGGCACATTTTGAAAACTCCATAATTTTTATTGTATTAACACCTTAATAGATACAATAGTAAAACTTAAGAATTTTTCTCTGTCATATGACCCTCTGCTCCTACAATTTTGGAGTTCATTAAAAGCACAAATAAAACAATTTAATCTCTTTGAAATAAAGTTGATGTAATAAAAGTACCTTTTAGAAGTTTTCCTTTTTCCTTGCATATAAAACTTCTCTATATTTCTGTAATGAACACATAAATTTCCATACTTTTTCCCTTAACTGATTATTTCCTTAATGGTCAGATTTTGATATGGCATATTTCTTTTTTGCCCCTCCTGCCCTCCCCCACCCTGCCCACTGATATTATCCATTCCATAGGCCACAGTTATTTCTCTAAGCCTGCATAGTGACATTTTCATACTACTTTAAAACTAAATGGGTTGTGCACAGTATCAAAAACCTATCTAGGTAAACTCTGAGTGAGCTAGCTAAACTCCCTCCCAACTTGGGAAGCATATACTAATGGAGAAGAATTTCTGTTCTAATTAGAATTGCCAAGGGTTACCAGACCTCTCCAGATCTGCGATTGACCTGGCTGCAGAACATGGCTGGCAAGCACTCAGAACGAAGCAATCATGCTGAAGCTGCACAGTGTCTAGTCCACTCAGCAGCACTTGTTGCTGAATATTTGAGCATGCTGGAGGACCGGAAATATCTTCCTGTGGGATGTGTAACATTTCAGGTAGGAATCTTCCAGATGTACATTAAATCAAGGTATGTCTTTTTTTGGTTTTAGCTTTTTCTCACTGGTGTTGAGATTTTTTTAGTTTGCAGGGAAAACTTAAAGACTTAAGCCAATGCTTCACAAGGTAGATTAACATTTCACAGTGATTGTCATTAATACATTTTTAAGGAGTACTTCTTGTTAATTCTCTTTCCACAGTTTCTTACCTCTGAACTATCAGCACTATGCTTATTTTTTCTTTTTGTCTTTACTGCCTTGTAATCAGTTACATACTTTAACATCTGTGGAAATGTATTACTGAGAATCAGAATTCAGTAGAAATTCTTAATTGGCTTTTACTTAACATAGCAGATATACCAACATTCTCTTTTCCGTACATAAAATATTAGTACATTTTATGACTAATACCATGACTCACAGATGAGTTTGCCCTCTAGTAGGGTACATAGTTCTGACCCACTAGTTGAATTCTTTGCTTACCAAGGGTCAGTTATGCTTTGCTTTTCTTCACAACCTGTTAATGGTAGGTTTGGGATATTATAAAATTTAGTTAAATGTTTTATCTTCTGATGAAATCAGAATGCAAAAAGAAAGTTATCGTTTCTCTGATAACAAAGTTGAATTTTTACAAAGACTCAGGAACGGTGAATCTCCAAAACAATTGCTGTTGAATTAACTGTGGGCCGGACAAATAGATTGGGGGAGAGGAAACTCCTAAAATTCTAGAATAATTTGATGATCGATTTAAGTTTAAGTTTTCACTCAAAAGAAACCAAAACTTGAAATCTTTAAAAAGAATGTTGCCTTTTGGGTATTTACCCACAAGAGATTCCGTGGAAATCTGATCTGGAAACCCATACACACAAAGAGAAGGCCTTAGATCTAATTCAAAAGTTGATAAATGAGTGTACATCTACTGTAAATGTTTAGGAGGTTAAAATAAAATAAGGTATGTATGTATCATTTCTTTTTAAGAAATAATGGCTGATTCCAATCTCATTGAATAAGAGGGCTTTTATTATACTTGAGGTTTTTTATTAACTCTGTGTATATTAGATAAGTCAAGAGACCATTTTTGTCCCTTTTTTCCTTTATAGTTTTGAGACGATCAATTAAATAAATAAAAAAGGACTGTTGATATCTCCTTAGATGTCTTATGTCATATTACAATTTCCTTTAGCCCATGACGTTTCTTAATTTTCTTTCATACCACTTTTTATTAAGAGAAAAGTTATCTAACAGTGGTGTTTTCATTTTATCATCTTCAAAATACAGAAAGTTTTTGGAGATTTATCTTTTACCTTTATATTACTCTCCTTTTTTTAAACCTAACCTGATAGTTACAGTTCATCTTCAGTTACTTCTTTTTATACATTTTTATGCTAGAAAATTCTGTTTCAAAAACCTTTTCAATTTATTTTTTCCCTAGAATATTTCATCTAATGTTTTAGAAGAATCTGCGGTCTCAGATGATGTGGTATCTCCAGATGAAGAAGGTATCTGCTCTGGAAAATACTTTACTGAGTCAGGACTTGTGGGATTACTGGAACAAGCAGCTGCTTCTTTCTCTATGGTAGATGACTCTTGTTAATTCTTTTTCCAGAGTTTCATACCTCTAATTATCAATGACATGTGTATTTATTCTCTCTGTCTTATGACCCTACTTTTCTTTAAAGATAATTTGTTCTGGACCTGGTATGGTGGCTCATGCCTGTAATCCCAGCACTTTGGGAGGCCAAGATGGGAGGATTGCTTGAGTCCAGGAGTTTAAGACCAGCCTGGGGAATATAGTGAGATACCATCTCTACAAAAAATTAAAAGTTCACCAGGCATGGTGGCTCATGCCTGTGGTCCCAGCTACTTGAGAGGCTGAGGTGGGAGGATTGCTTGAGCCCAAGAGGTTGAGGCTGCAGTGAGCCATGATTATGCTGCTATACTCCAGTCTGGGCAACAGAGTAAAACTCTGTCACAAAAAAAAAAAAAAAAAAAAAAATTGTTTTTTATTCCATGTCCCCTAAAAACTATCTAGGAACACATTTTCTTTCTAGATTCATTATTGGCTTACTCCTTTTCATCTTAATAATCTGTCACTTCCCCCAGTGTTCCAGTGGTTTGGCTCACTGCAGCATCAAACTCCAGGGCTCAAGGGATCCTCCCACCTTAGCCTCCTGAGCAGCTGGGAATACAGGGGCACACCATCACGCGCGGCTAATTGTTTTATTTTTTGTAGGGATGGGGTTTCACTTTGTTGCCCAAGCTAGTCTCAAACTCCTGACCTCAAGTTATGTTCCCCTGATCAGCCTCCCAAAGTGTTAGGATTATAGGCATGAGCCACTGTGCCCAGCTCACCAGTGTTTTTCATTTGCTTGTTTACGAACCAGCATGTGATTTGTAGCAGATATTTTTTGGTTCATAAAACTTTTACTGCCAAATATTTTCTAAAACCTTTAAGTTAAAAAACATAGTAAAACAAAACAGAAAGTCTCTGAGTGATATAAGTTCCTAGTTGGTAGACTGGCGGAGCTCTATAAATAGATCTTGTCTATTGGATGAAATGGAGAATCTTCTTTCCAGTATGACGGGCATTGCCCTGGTGTCCAAGAAAGTTATGACCACTCATTCCATTGGTTGCATAGTAATCCTCATTAGGTAGTTATCGGAGCCCTGGACCTTGCTCTTTAATGAACTGCATCCTGAATCCCTTACCTGACTATGCTACCACGCTATAACCCCAATCTTGTTCCCTTCCATCCATATGTGAAGAACTAAAGCAGTCAGATGAAACCCAGATGGGATGTTTATTGGAGAAAGAAAAGATAGTTAGCTGAATTCATGCTCACCTTCTTAAACCATGTTGATAGGGTCACTTAATTCCTCTGACTTTTCCGCTGAATGTTTAGTGTCCCAGCACCCAAGGTTTAGGAGACACTGAGGTTCATGTTAGGGTAAGAAAGAAGCTTGAGGTAATATGCAATGCTGCCCTCTTTCCCCTTTTTTACTTCTGTTGGGAATTGATTTGTTCTTCACCAGGCCTTATCCCTATCCTGCAATATATTGATTAAGGGTAGATTTAGAAGGCATACTGCCAAAGTTCAAATCCTGGCTCTGCCATTTAGCAGTTGTGTTACTTCAGGCACAAATTATTTAACCTCTTGGTGCCTCACTTATCTATTAAATACATCTAATAATAGTACCTACCTCATAGGAATGTTTTTAGGATTAAGTAAGTTCATGTATTTAAAGTGCTTATCACAGCTCCTGGCTCCAAGTAAGTACTAGTGTATTTACTGTTACCATCGTTTTCATCATTATTGGCAATTGAGAGACTCTTAAGAGTGTTTTTGCAGAGTTAAAATATTAGGTGTCGATCCTCTTTTAAAATGTTTGCCTCTAAGGACGTTGACCATTCCAATTCCATCCCTACACTTGTCTAAGCTAGCAGGGGGCAAGGGTTTTTTGCTATTGGTGGAATGTTTTAATTAGCATAACTCTGTGTGTTTGTATGTGTGTGATTTTAATAATTCACAGTAGTGCATTTAGATTGGGGGACAGTAACCTATATTATTAAAATTCTTTTGCAGTTGTATATGATTGTAAATTTTATTCTTTTTCAATTAATCTGATTTTAGTTAAAATAATTACTGGAGGATTTTAGTTACACTAAACATATTTCACTAGTACAACTACATTATTGTTTAATTATACTCCTACAAACGTACTGGGAAATATAAGGACCATGTGTTTTTCTTTGGGAAAATATGTTTGCTGATCTGTGAAGCAACGAGGACTCAATGGCTTTTGGAAAACATCTCTCTCTCCTCTTACTACAGCACCAATCCATTATTAAATATAAAGGATGGGTCAAGCCCAGTGCCTCACGCCTGTCATCCCAGTGCTTTGGGAGGTTGCATAGTAATCCTGGGATTACCCCGATCTCTACAAAAAGTGAAAAAATTAGCTGGGCATGGTGGTGAGCACCTGTAGTCCTAGCTACTTAGGAGGCTGGAGTGGGAGGATTGCTTGAGGTCAGGAGTTCAAGGCTGTAGTGAGCTATGATCACACCACTGTACTCCAACCTAAAAAACAGAACAAGACCCTGTTTCTTATTAATTAAAAAAAAAAAAATAGATAAGGGATAGAAGACCAATACAAACACATCTTGCCTCTCACTCTGATTATGTGATTATAACCATAGCAACCACTGGCCAACTAGCCCACAGTGGAAGGAAATCTGGTGGCTCAGAACTTTCTACGCTTTATTAAAGATTTGTGATTTTTTTCCATAGGAGATTTACAATAGGAGATTGCCTGTGTCAGCTTAATATTTTGGAAAAGTAAATGATTTTTGTGTCCCAGGAGGCCACGGGTTATCTGATTATAGGAGAATTGGGTATCTGTGACCAGTGTAATATTAAATTCCTTTTTCCGCTGCTCAGAATTAATTTCTGCAAAAGTTTATATGCATAGATAAGTATACATACACACATTAGCCTTAGTGAAGTAATTATTGGGCAGATAAAAGGAAAATGCCCAATTCAAATTATAGAAATATAAATATGCACATATGTGTATGTGTATATATTAATATACACACACACACACATATCTGCATACATACCCATTTATCCAGAGGAGAAGATACATTGGAAAATTCTTTTTATTAAGCCTTAATACAGTTAAAAACTAGTATTTGTTTTTGTTTCCTACTGGAAAAGCTCCAGTGGTATTATCTTCCCCCCGCCCACCCCCCCACCCCAGATGGCGTCTCACTCTGTCGCCCAGGCTGGAGTGCAGTGGCACGGCCTCGGCTCACTGCAAGCTCCGCCTCCTGGGTTCATGCCATTCTCCTGCCTCAGCCTCCCTAGTAGCTGGGACTACAGGCGTCCGCCACTACGCCTGGCCAATTTTTTGTATTTTTAGTAGAGACGGGGTTTCACCGTGCTAGCCAGGATGGTCTCAATCTGCTGACCTCGTGATCCACCCGCCTCAGCCTCCCACAGTGTTGGGATTACAGGCGTGAGCCTCCGCGCAGCCTCAGCGGTATTATCTTAATAGAAATATTGCAAATTCATATAATTACTTTACTTTCTTATTGATGTAAAAGAAAGCAACATCTTATAAAATTTTTTCTTATAGGCTGGCATGTATGAAGCAGTTAATGAGGTTTACAAAGTACTTATTCCTATTCATGAAGCTAATCGGGATGCAAAGAAACTATCCACAATTCATGGTAAACTTCAAGAAGCATTCAGCAAAATTGTTCATCAGGTAATGATTCCAATTTCTAGCTTCACTATTAAGGGAAAAAACTGTCTGAAAGCATTAATGTTGTTTTGTACTGATGTCAAACTAGATCCAGTGAGATGACCATTTTAATCAGACTACCAATGAACGGTCAAAATGATAGTTCGTGGCCAAAGCAAAGCTCAGTAACTAAAGTAATGGTGATCATCATAAACTATCCGCGTAGTTTTTTTTTTCATTTTTGAATTATTAATTAGCAAGTTTTAAAATATTGTGATTTTTGTTTCACAAGGTAGATCATATTTCAGCTTTTTAAATTAAATGATGTGAAACTAATAAACTACTAATATTTTTAATGACTGCAACTGAACTTTATGTTTCCTAGATGTTTACATTCAATCATCCTTTGATATATTTCTAATACAAAAATATTATTTTGTGAAAATAATGAATAAAATGGTTGTCTTAGTGTATATTTAATTCTAATAGTATTTCATTACTTTATAGTTCATTATGGAATCTACATATTATCACTAAAATTAGAATCAAATTAAACTTAGTTTTAAAATGAAGTACACTACTAGCAGTTGATTTCTTTGAAACTAAATCCTTGGCTTCATTGAAATACTGCAAAATATCCTATCGAGTCTCCTCCTCCTCCACTTTTCTGTTCCCTTCCCCTTGCTACCCTACTATTACCTACTGCTGCCAGTGTCAAAGGAGGTGGAGTATGACTATCCACTTTTGTATTCAGTATTAGTCCTACTTTGTTACCTATCAGCTTGATCTCTTCTTTTTTGCAATGAATTAAGCTGTTCTAAATGAACTGATTAATCTGAAAAGCCTTTGACAGTCTCAAAACAGGGCTGCTATCCTGTGAAGTCAGGATTTTATTTTCATCTATTAAAATGTTAAAGTCGAAAAATATTGATTAGGTTTCATGACCATAACAGGTAGGTCTTTTAATAATCAGTTGTACATATACTGTCACAGGAACCTCAAACCAGTTTCTAGAGCTGTAAATTGCAAATTATAAATGTTAGGTCTGGCACATTTAGCGCTAGTCGTTTCTGAGAAACTTTCAGCCATTTTTGTCATTGGCATTTGAGCAGAGTTGCAATTTGTATTTTAATTTATCCTGGATACTTAGTAAAGTGCAGCTCACATTAGTTAGAGATCACTTAAACATGTAAATGGAACAAGCAGCTGGGTCTCTTTCCCTAAAATTTGTACTTTCACTTAAAGTTTTTAAAAGGCAAAATTTTAGCCACTGGGTTTTGACCAAGCAATTTATGAAATTATTGCAGGTCTTAAGTAAATGAATATGCTGTTTAAAATATCCTGCTGTCTTCTATTTGTGGAGAAGAATTTATGGTATATGGTGCCTTTGGCCTTTTTTGTTCTTTTTAAACAGTTTTTTTATGACTTGCCCTTTTTTACTTTTTATTATACAGAGTACTGGCTGGGAGGTAGGTAATGTTTTAGTTAGTTAAAGACACTAATAGATTGATTTTATAAGATTTCTTATGCCAATGCTTTGCCCACATGTGCTAGCTGTGGGCATTCTGTTGCTATCTGCTATCAACTGAATTCATTAACCAAAGAAATTTTGTTAAAATATTGTAAGTTATTTTAAGAAATATCTTATTAAGAGGTTGTAGGCAGTGCATGGAAATCCATATGTTACACTAATGAGATTCTTTGGTAAATGAGCCACTTTGTCATCACTTTAGTTTTTATCCTTCAATTTGAAGCATTTCTCTCATCAACATTTATACACAGATTTCTTTTTTTAACCATATTGTTTCACCTCATTTTACAGAGGTCGATTTATGTGTTATTGCTCAGAGGTGTAAATAGAAAATACTCTATTTCATCTGATCTTAGATGGCATCAATTACAAAACATACTAGTATTTTATATGCCTTTAAGAAAGGAAAAAAAAAAATCCCTGTGTGTTAAGCCAAGATATCCTATTAGTTGAAAGATGAATACCAACTATAAAAGCATTAAAATGTGGGCAAAAAAAGTACATTTTAGAATTGATGAGATGCTGTGTAATTTGATCTTGAGTCTCTTCACCTTGACTATAAGCACTACTGGGGAAAGAAATTCACTTTACTGGGGAGAGGGATAAAGAAATTAAGAGAACTTATAATTTAATTTGACCTCATATTCTGACAGCATTTGATATATTATTTGATAAGACTACACATGCTTCCTTTTATGTAGTAGTTAAGACTCACAAAAAGTTTTATGTAAATACAATCTTACCTGAAAAAAATGCCAGGAAAAATTAATTACCATTATTTTAAATGTTTCTGCAAAGTAAATAATTCTATAAAATATGCCCTAATTTATTTTGATGAGGTAAAGCAAAGTAGTAATAAGTCAGGTTTATTTAAAGCTAGGTATATTTGTGAAGTTGTGTACTTTGCCTTTCACTTGTTGTCAGATTTATGTTGATCGAACAGCTTAGGCTTCTCTTTTTGGGTTTGCATTGCAATCCTTGTTTTAAGCCCCAGATAGAAAACCTTGGGAATAAATATTACTACTGAGTTTTCCTCCATTTCTGAAATACTACCCAAGTCTTGTTTTTCTTTAGATGAAGCCAGTACTTTTATAAATCTACCTTAATTCTCTGTATATGACTGTATTAGTACTCAAAATATAATCCTCATTCCTATGGCTCAGTTAAGACATATATAAAGAGACTTGCCATGGTTATCTATGAATGATGAAACTCCTTATAAATTTCCTAACTTGAAATAGAATTAGTTGAGGCCGGGCGCGGTGGCTCAAGCCTGTAATCCCAGCACTTTGGGAGGCCGAGACGGGTGGATCATGAGGTCAGGAGATCAAGACCATCCTGGCTAACACAGTGAAACCCCGTCTCTACTAAAAAATACAAAAAAAACTAGCCGGGTGAGGTGGCGGGCGCCTGTAGTCCCAGCTACTCGGGAGGCTGAGGCAGGAGAATGGCGTGGACCCGGGAGGCGGAGCTTGCAGTGAGCTGAGATCTGGCCACTGCACTCCAGCCTAGGGAACAGAGCAAGACTCTGTCTCAAATGCGTCTCAAAAAAAAAAAAAAAAAAAAGAATTAGTTGAAAATTAGGCCTAAAATAACATATTGAAACCTCTGAGCAGTTTATTACTAGTTTCCGTGATGCTAAATCGACCCCTGAAAGGTATAATTTTCACTGGTTATGACATTAATATCATTCTGTCATCATGTTTATTGCATGGTAAAAGTCTCACAGACTTTATTTTCTTGTTTATATACTTGTCACTACCTTTTACTGGACCTTTAGCTTTGTAGCTGCTAAATTTGTTGCACGTTTGTTTTTTGCTTTTCCTTTGTAAAACTTAAATGGATGCCTGCATTTAAAAAATGTGTTTTCTACCATTTGCTGCTTATTTGTTTTGAAATTTCTGTAATTAAAATGCTTTCTGTTTTCTCTTCTCTCTTGTCCCTGGTTGCTGACCCTACTCCCCACTTTTACTATTGTCTATTGTGGTAAGTTCTATCTTGTGGATATTTTTCTTTTTGACTCTATGAAAACTTCAGTAGTTTTGTTTTTTCTAAAAGCTATGTTTCCTAGCTAATTTTCTAGTATTCTGATAGAACTCTCACTGGATTGAAGTCCAGTAAGGATAATCTGTATATTGTAGAAAGGCTCTTTGAATTGATAACTTGCTCCGCAACTTATAGGAAAACCCCATCTGGGCTTATATATTAGTCACATGTTTCATGTTTTTATTGTGCTCCTTGATTTAGTACAAATTATTTGAGTTGGCAGAGCTTTTGGGCGGGGGGTGTGTGTGTGTGAAAGATAACTCTAAAACTTAGTATTTCAGTAAAGTATTTACCACGCAAAATAATAAATCATGAACCTTTCAGGAATCATGTGACTGTTATCTCCTCTGGTAGTTTCAGTTCTTTAATGGCTGTTTAGTGTTCACTTTTATTTTTACTTTTCCCAAAGTCTTTTTGTGTTTCTCGAAATAGTAGGAAGTAAAAGCATGTTTGTTGTCTTTCAAAATGTTTGTTTATGAGATGGGGTCTCACTCCATAATTCAGACTGGAGTGCAGTGGTGCGATCACAGCTCTCTGCAGCCTTGACCTCCAGGGTTCAGGTGATCTTCCCACCTCAGCCTCCCGAGTAGCTAGGACTGTAGGCACATGCCACCAGCTAATTTTTTCTATTTTTGTAGAGACAGGGTTGTGCCATGTTGCTCAGGTTGATCTCAAACTCCTGGCCCCAAGTGATCCACCTGCCTCAGCCTCCCAAAGTGCTAGGATTATAGGAATGAGCCACCATACCCAGCCTAAAAGCAAGTTTTGAACACTTCTTTTTTATGATGCATATTTAATTATTTTCAGCAGAAAAAGAAATGTTAAATTTCTGTATGAAAATTTTTATAACCACTTTCTATGTTATGTATGTATATGTATTTATTTTTGTAATTATGTTTGTACCAGCCTGGACAACATAGCGAGACCATCTCTACAGAAAGTTAGAAAAATGGGCCAGGTATGGTGGTGTGCATCTGTACTCCCAGCTACTTGGGAGGCAGAGGCAGGAGGATTGCTTGAGCCCAGGCATCAAGGCTGCAGTGAGCTATGATGGTGCCACTGCACTCTAGCCTGGACAACAGAGTGAGACCCTGTCTTAGGGTTAGGGTTAAAAAAGAAAAGTTTGTTCAGTTATCAAATAGTAACCAATTTGTATTCAGAAGTACACTAATACAAGTTTAAATTTTTCAGAAAAATCAAAACCCAAGCAGTGATAACATAGTCATGTGATACTTTTTTTTCCTTCAAAGATCACAACATATTTATTTAAAGACCACCACTACTCTAGTAAAGTATATCTTACATTTTTCATTTCTACTAGATCACTAAGAAAATATAGATTACCCTAACTTTTGAGATTGACACATGAAAAATAAGTATATCTTAACTCTCATTGTTGAACTGAATGAATATGAATATGAGCCAGTATTTTGGTTTTTATATGTTT